AAGAGCTCTGGGGACCGAGTTCTGAGCGGAGCTGCCCTCCTCCGCCTTTCGACCGACGTTCCTGGGGCCCGTCCAGTCCAGACCCCCCTGGCCACCTCCGAGACAGAACAGCGCCACCTTGCCGTCGCTCGGACGCCCATTTCTCGTGCATTTTTCGGTTTCGTGCGTGTTCTTTTTGCTCGATGGTCCAGGATGGTCCTCAAGGGCCCTCGCCGAGAAAAAAAAGTGCGCACGCCCGAGCGATGCCGGGCCACAAACATGCACCACTCTGGCAGCCCGCGCGTGGGCTTCTTGCGTCGGCGACGCCGCCCTCCCCGCCACCCCTGGTGGCGCCCCCCCCCGGCGCGCTCTGCGCGCCGAAGCAGGTCTGTGTGGGGAGCGGGCTCCGACGCCGCGCGGACCTCTGGAAGTCCTCCTGCCTGCAGGAGGGGGCCGTCGTGGCCGAGCCTCCGAGGGGTCAACGGGCCGCGCCGTGCGCGCGGCCGCCGCGCCGGTGGCCACCCACTCGAGGGCCGCAGGGCGCCAGCAGGCTGGCAGCCCCGCCGAGGCCGGAGAGCGAAGGCTCCTCCGCCTCGGCCAGCGCGGCCGCGAGCTCCGCGTCCGTGAGCGGCTCGCCGTCGAGGTGCTCGCCGTCCGCGAGCGCGTCGAGTGCCGCCGGCGCGCCGACCGCTCCGCCCACGGCGGCCGGCGCAGGGTCGCCGTGCATGAGCCGCCGCCCCCTGTCGATTCATCGCAGGGGTGCCTGGCGTGCCAGACTACTTCGGTTTCGGTTTTGGTTCTCTTTCCAAGAGAACTGCCCCTGGGGCTTCGGCCCGTCCAGCCGGCTGCCTGCCTCGTCGGCTTTGTCGCTCTAGATGGCCCGAGATGGCCTCCAAGATGCCTCCGAGACGGCCAAGATGGCCTCCAAGACGGCTAAGATGGCCTCAAGACGCCTCCACGACGGCCCAAGACGCACCCAAGATGACCTAAGATAGCCTTAAGATGGCCCAAGACAGCCTATGTTCATTCTTGTTTTCCAGAGAAATGCTGAGGCGAAGACAACATGTCGCGTGGGCAGTTTGCCCCACACAACCCGCAGAGAACGCTACAATTAACTAGGCCTTGGGCTGGCGAGGGCAGAAGCGATGGCTACAGAGCAAATAAAGCGGACCACTGACATGAACAATACCGTGCACTGCTATGTTCATTCTTGTTTTCCAGAGAAATGCTGAGGCGAAGACAACATGTCGCGTGGGCAGTTTGCCCCACACAACCCATCTTAATGAATAAAACCCCGTCTTCAAGCAATGTACTGGATTACCGCATCAAATTCCAAAGGCGGCTGGCCCGCAGGGACACGTAGCTGTGAGAAAGTTCTCGAGCGAGCACAAAGCACAGGCGAGGGGGGTAGGACGCCTTAAGATGGGTAAGGAAGCCGGCCTTGGACTTACCCGTCAGAACAAGGTGAGGCTTGCCAGAAAACGTACAGACCCTCCTACCTTTACAGTGCCAGGTGTACAGCTCTGGCGGAACAGATATGTTGGCGAGAGCCATGCGCGTGCGAGCTCGGAAAGGGCGGCCAGCGCCGCAATAATCAAAGACTACAGTCTGAACATTAGCGTGCGAAAGAAAACGTTGGCGGCTGGGGAGCAGCCACAGCAGACTCGACGCAGGATTTTCCTCTCCCGCTGGCAGTTGGCGTCTCAGGGCGATGCCGAGCAGCAGGGCAATTCTGTCGGCCAGTTTGTTAGAGGTGACGACATCGTGATAGTCGGCCCCCTCTAAATTCGGGAGGCCTCGCAGGTGCTCCTTAGTTCGCAAGCGTCGAGGCATGGCACTGCGCGGCGGAGCCCTGCGTGCTTGAGACCTTTTTTCACACGGGCTACCTGAAAACATGCCCCAGATGATGCCAGACTCAAGCCAGCCACGAAGAGTGCGGAAGACATCGTCTTGGAGCAAATCACATTCGGGCCCTAGGAGCACGTCGATCGAAACTGCAGCATGCCCCCTCTTTTTCAGCTCCGTGGCAAGGCCACCAGAGCCTGAGAAGAGGTCGAGGAAAGCCCGCCGCTCGCCGAGGCGGCCGGCGCGGAGGGCAGCACGTAGGCGTTGTCGAAGAGCCGCTGGGCGGCTGCCGCCCATGCCTCGCAGCCTTTCCTGTGGGCGCTGCTGAGGTTCCGCGTGACCAGCGCCAGACGCCCTGCCTTGTCGTATCTCCGCGCCGATGACGCCGCCCTCCACATTCCTCGCCTTTGCACCTCCGGCAGTGAGCGGCAGCCTGCAGCGCGGTCGTGAGTCGCGCCGCCGTGCCTCAGGCAGTGCGGCGAGAAGCCCAAACCTTCGAGCTTGAGGTAGTGACAGGCAGCATGGAAGTCGGCCAGGAACTGTGGGTACGAGATCTGAAACAGGAGCTCGCCCTTGCGTCGAAGCCGTTGCAGCCGCACGGCCGCGCGCCCAATCCAGTGATGTCGAGGAAGGTCGAACGCCACCGTGGAGTCGAACTCGCCCGTCTTGGAGCTGGTAGCGAGCTCCTCTGGGTGCAGAATGAGGAGAGGGTACTGTAGCACCCCGACCTCGTTGCACCTGCCTGGAAGCAGCTGCTTGGCCAGCAAGGTCGCGGCCTCCGACGGGCGCAGGTAGCACTCGAAGGCCACCAGGATGCACAGACCCGAGTCCGGCTTGCCCATCGAGACCAGCACGGCAGCCATCGCAAGGGCGATTGCCCGCGGCAGTGGCGGGCGGGAGTGTCCCGGCTGGAGGCGCGTCCAGCCTGACAGCGACGCGTGCCCCGCGGGGAAGAGGCGCCGCACGGGGCCTCCCAGCGCAGGCTCGCCCCATGCCACGGCACAGAGGGTGCGCGAGAACGCCTCCCGGCCCATGCCGCGGTCGAAGGCCCACTCGGGATAGTCCACCAGCGTCTCGCCCCACTGCGCGGGGGTCCAGCACGGCAGCGCCAGGAGCCGTAGCCAGCCCAAGAGCACGGTCAGCGCCCGCAGGTACGAGAGCACGGTAGCGTGTCGCACCCGACGAGCCGCCAGTCGCGAGAGCCGCGGACACAGCCGCGCCCGTCGCGCACAGACCTCTGCGGGCCTGTCGCTCAGCGGCGCTGGGGATGTCCAGCCCTGGCGTAAGTAAGCCAGTAAGCCGTCACTGGCATGGTTGTGCTCCCTCGAGCCGATGGCTCCGGATAGAGGACCAGCCTGCTGTGTGCCTTTCTCACCCCTGGCTGAGGGTGTACCGCATTGTCCGACACCGTGTTGCTTTCCCATGCCTGGCATGAACCTGCGAGAGGGAGCATCTCCAGGATTGAGCTCTGAAGGAATCCATCTGAACCTGAGCTGCATCCCGGCGGCGATTGAGATGGCGCAGATCTCCCGACAGACGACGTTGAGTGCAAAATGTGCCGCTCTGCCCTTTTCGCATGCGCACACCGCCCCGAGGTTGTCACCCAGGATGAGGTGCCGATGTCCGTGCAGCTGCGAATTGCGAGCAAGGCGCCGCACAGCCCAGCGCGCCCCCTCAGCCTCCAAGACGTGGATGGCCGCGGCCCGCCGCCAGCGACGCGCTGCCGCGACCGCCCATGGGTCGGCCAAGAGCCGCGCTGCAGGCACCTCCTCGAAGTGGGTCAGGGTGCCCTCCGCGGTGACGTCGGCAGCCGAGGCGTGCAGGAGCTGCTGCTCGACCAGCGTGTCCCTGGGGGCGTAGTCGGCCGTCAGGACCCCTCTAAACCGGCTGCGCTCCGAGAGGCTGCCGACACGCCGAACTTCACTGACGGGCCACGGCTGCTCCACGACGCCAAAACCCCCAAGGCGAGGCGTCGGTCGCAGTGACGCGCTCGCACCAGGGTCGACTCAGCGAGACTGTCACGCAGGGCAGTAGCGCTCTGAACCAGGAGAGCTCCCGCCTCACCGACGACCAGAGTGGCTGCCGCTTGTCACGCGAGCGCCTGCAGAACTCATAGATCGCATGGAAGAGCGAGAGCATGTGCCGCTGCAGCATGACGGCGGCCGTGATATGGCCCATCAGCCTCTCGAGCTCGCGCCCCGTGACGAGGCGTCCAGGCGTGAGCACAACATCGAAGCTGAACTTCAGTCGCCAAAACTTGCTCTGTGAAAGACGCCAAGTGGCCGAGGGCTTGTGCAGCACGAAGCCGAGCAGGGTGTGCAGGTCCCCATCATCGCGGTCGAAAGAGGCCTGAATGCCCCGCGCACTGAGCGCGGCCAACATGCGCTCCACCCTCCAGGGTGGGGTCGCCGCTGCCTGAAGTAAAGACCGCGACGTTGTCGATATACAGCACCTTGGCGGTGGAACATTGAGCCCCGAGCGCCGGCGTAGGAACCTTGTCGGCGATCCAGGGCGCCTCCGGGCTGACGGTGCTCAGGACGTGTGCGTGGGCCTCCTGAATGAGGTGCACGGCCCACGACCAGCCCATGGGCACCACTCTGGCAACGAAGTGGATCATCTCGGACGGATCAGAAACCCCGAGCTGCTGACGGGCTGCTGGATCCAAAAAACGTGCTTGGACCGCTGGCAAACCGAAGAAGGCACGTGCCCAGGAAGGCAGCTCGTATTGGTAGAAGCAGCATTCAACGTCGCCTGAGGCCACCGCGACCCCCTCAGCGGCATCAACCTCCAAGTTCGCCAGGGCCTCCCCGCTCGCGAGCAAGGTGTAGGGCGGGTCCTGGAAATGGGCATTGGACCTCCGGGTGTCGAAGATCAGCCGAAGCGACGAGTCCTTCTTTGGGACGAAAAAGATGCCAGCCCGCTCGATGATGCTGCCCTCGGACGCGCGCTCGATGATGCCCGCGGAGAGCAGCTCGGAAAGGCACTCGCCTAACTGGTAGCCATGTCGCTGCAGCACTGGGTCCATGGCACAGACCCTGGGAGCCTCACCCAAAGCAAAATTGCGAGCCTCAGGCTCTTGTAACATCTGCGACGAATCAGACAGAAGAGACTGCAGGTGCGGCGGCAGCACGTCAACAAGCCGCACTCGCCCTGCCGCAGCCCGCGGGAGCGCCATGGCCCCCTTCCTGTAGGTTGTCGATGCACCTTCGGCCATGACGTCTGCATAGCCGTTCCGCGAAGCCTGGAGCGTCTGCCACGCCCCCAGGGGAGTCACGTCGGAAGGCGGCGGCTCCACCCTGCCGTAGAGCTGCGCGAGGCGCCGCACGGCGGCGACCTGGCAGGCCGTGGGGGCCCCCACCGGGATGTCCGCCCCGCGTCCACCGAGGTCGTTCAGCGCGGCGATGCCCTCGCGCAGCCAGACCTCCTGGTGCCGGCGCTGCCGCCCGCGCCGCCCACCGCCATGCGGCAGAAGGCGCGCCGCCGCCCCATGCAGCAGCTCGTCGAGCGTCGCGCCGAGCGGGAGAGGCAGGACGTCGCGCGCCACGCTGTTGTCCGAGACTCCTTGCGCCGAGGCCGCCATCACCACCGCAGTGGCGGCCCTCCCCTGAGAATGCGTCCGCTGCCCGGGGGGCTGCAGCGGCCGCGCACAAGCCGAAAAACTGGCGGCGGGCTAGGCCCGCCCGCGGCCGCGGCCGCCACGGTCGCGGCCGCTCGGGCCGCCGCCGCTGCCAGCGCCGCCGCCGCCACCACCTTGATCACCTCCTCCTGGTGCGACGTCGGCGCCGCTGCTGCCCGCGCCGCGTGCCATGCGGCGCTCCTCTCGGCCCTTGCGCCGCGCCTTCAGGATGGCGCTCTCCTCCTGCATCCTCTCCGCCGCGTGCTTCTCCAGGGGCGGCGACACGAGAGCATGCCCTTTGGAGCGGGTGCCCCCGAGGAAGATCCTGCGCTCGTCCAGCCAGCCGTCCGAGTCGGCAGTGGCCCCAGCGGTGCCCGCGACCTCGACCTGGCGGAGCGCCTCCGAGTACACCTCCTCCCAGAGCTGGAAGCGCCTGGCCGCCAGCTCAAACGCCTCGCAGCCCGGGAGGTTGAGCTGGTCAGCCGTCGATGCCGTCTCGATGAGCTCGCACAGGAACAAGTGCTCGTCGACCCCGGGGTCGGCCGCGGCCAACCCCAGGATCTGTCGCCACCAATAGTGTCGCTGGACGGGCCCGCTCCCCTGCCCCAGGTGTGCCTGAAGCAGCCGGCCGATGGTAGCGGGCCCCTGCGCGCGCCACTCCTCCGTGGTGAGCGCCTCGCGCTGCTCAGCCACGACCTCCGCGAAGGCACGACGCCGCTGGCCACTCCCGCTCCGTCGGTACCTCAGGATGCGCTCGTCCAGCACATCCTCCTGGGCGTCTCGAGGCGAGATCGGCACTTCGTCGGACAGGGTCCCCACTCGGCCAAGCGTGATGACCCCCTCTGGGAACGAGGCCAGCGCGCGGTCGTCCATGGCGTAGACGGTGGCGAACGTGACGTCAACTGGAGAGCCCCGCCTGAACCCCAGCCGAGACTCCAGGGCGACCCAGCTGTCATCCAGCTGCACCGGCGGAAAGGGACCTCCGCCGGCGCCCGACCTGGGCGGGGGGGCGCGGCCCGGCGGCGGCTGCGGCGGCTCCGCTGCGCCGGCAGCCAAGCCGACATCGGAACCGCGCGGGGTGTCCGTGCCGCCGTCCGCCACCGCAGGAAGTGAGTGCTGCTTCCCCCACAGCCGGCGGACAACCCCTGGTGGCCTCGCCACTGGATCGTGCCGGACCTCGTGGCGCTCGGACTCCGAGAGCCGCACCCCCTCGTCCATGAGGGCGATCAGCCCCTGCTCGTCCATGTCAAAGCGGTACAGCATCTTCTTGCGCAGCTGCGGCGGCGCCCCGCCACGGGGACCAGCTCGGTGGATCTCCACATGGTCGTCGTCGGCGAAGTCCTCGACGTACACGTCGCCATCAGGCGTCGCCACCACCCATCGTGAGCCGTCCACGTGGGCGCACAGAAGCCTCTCGTGGTACAGCCTCTCCTCCAGGCTGTACAGGCAGTGCAGCTTGTCCCACGGGCGGGCCGTCTTCAGAAGGTCGGGCAGCCCTTGAGGAACCATGGCCATGGAGCCTGCCTGTGAGGTAGCCTATGATGAACGCGGCGCACACCGCGAGGCACACGACTGAGGCGATCTCCCAGAAGACTGAAGGGCACTCCGACGGCGCGCTCCGAAGCTGCTTAGGGCCACACCTGTCCAACTGTCGCTGCAGGACCTGAATCAGCTCTTGTCGTGCTCCCCCGTGAAGGCACACGTGCAGTGGCACTCCTTATGGAGAGAAGTCCAAAGGTTGGCGGCGTACAATCCTGTCGCAGCCCAATCTCGGACTGCAGGGGCGAGACCGAGGGCGAGCCCTGCCATAACAAGCGCAGCTTCGAGCAGAAGCGATGGCTACAGAGCAAGTAAAGCGGACCACTGAAATGAACAATACCGTGCACTGCTAAGAGGTCCCCAGGAGGCCTCCAAGAGGCCTCCAAAACGCTCCAGAAGGACTCCAAGAGGTCCTCCAGGAGGGCCCGAAAAGGCCAAAATCATTGATTTTCCATAGGTTTTTGAAGGATTTTGGCATTTGCTTCTTCTCGGCATTCCGACGGCTCAAGACGGCCCAAGAGGCCCCCAAGACGGCCCCAAAAGGGCCCAAGAGGCCTCCAAGACGGCCAGAATGGCCTCCAAGACGGCTAAGGTGGCCCCAAGATGCCTCCAAGACGGCCCAAGATGCACCCAAGACGGCCTAAGATGGCCTCAAAATGGCCCACGACGGCCCAAGAGGCCGCCAAGAGGCCTCCAAGACGGCCCAAGAGGCCTCCAAGAGGTCCTCCAGGAGGGCCCGAAGAGGCCCAAATCTGTGGTTTTCCTTGGTTTTCGTTGGGGGGGGAGGGGAATTTGCTTCTTTTCGGCATTCCGACGGCCCAAGACGGCCCAAGAGGCCCCCAAGATCGCCCACGAGGCCTCCAAGATGGCCCCCCAAGACGGCCCCAAGAGGGCCCAAGAGGCCTCCAAGACGGCCAAAATGGCCTCCAAGACGGCTAAGATGGCCCCAAGATGCCTCCACGACGGCCCAAAATGCACCCAAGACGGCCTAAGATGGCCTCAAAATGGCCCAAGATAGCCCAAGAGGCCTCCAAGACGGCCCAGAAGGCGTCCAGGAGGTCTTCCAGGAGGGCACGAAGAGGCACAAATCATTGACTTCCCTAGGGTTATTTGAAAGATTTTGGCATTTGTTTCTTCTCGGCATTCCGACGGCCCAAGACGGCGCAAGAGGCCTCCAAGATCGCCCAACAGGCCTCCAAGATGGCCCCATGACGGCCCAAAAGGCTCCCAAGATGGCCCCAAGAGGGCCCCAAATCGGCCCGAGAGGCCTCCAAGACGCCCAAGATGGCCTCTAAGAATCCCTGCTATGCCCCAAGAGGGCCCCAAAACGACCCAGACAGACCACCAAGACGACTTCTGAGAGGCCCCCAGGAAGCTCCCAGGAGGCCCCAGGAGTGCCCCAAGAGGCGCTCAAGAGGCCTCCTCCTCCTCCTCTTTTTTTCTCATCCTCTCCCTCCTCCTCGTCTTGCTCCCCCATGCGTTCCCCGAAGTCTTCTCAAACCGACTCGGGGAACAACTGGCCCGACAGCTTGGCCAAGCTCTGGCCCAGCTGTCGGCCACAGAGGCGCTTCCAAAGGGGCAGGGGGCGGCGGTCGCCGTAGGCGTCTTCCATCAGGTTCTCGCACCGGACGGCCTTGATCTCGCCAGTCTTCAGGCGCACCTTCCAGCGCCCGGCGCCCGAGTCCCACTGCTCGCAGGCGGCCACCTCGCCGTTGAGGTGCGGTGCCGCCACCAGGCTGTGCAGCCGCACCGCGCGCCCGACCTGCAAATGCCAGAACCGCTCGAAGTGGCACAGGCGCGCCCGGCACAGCACCGGCGGGAGCGCGTGCGGGCCCTTGAGCCCGCGCTCCAGGCAGGCCTGTGGCAAAGCCGCCTGCTCCAGGCCCCCGTACCAGCGCGTCAACTTCGGCCGGAGGCGCTCGTCCGGCTCGCCCGCGGCCTCCCTGCAGGACACGTCGCGCATCTCCGGTGCCAGGAGGAGGCACTCGAGGCCCTTGGTGAAGAGAGGCAGGAAGACGCGCCACGCCTCCCAGGCCCCGAAGACGCGCCGCACCCCGCCCTCTCCTCGGGCTCGCTCCTCCCGGCTCGCGATGGGCTGCAGCCAAGTGCGGCCCAGATTCTCGCAAGCATCTGCTGGCGGCGCGCACAGCGTAGGGGGGGAGGGGGAAAGGCTTCTTAGAAGGAGGCTGCTTCTTAAAGGCGCTGGCCCTACATCTCCAGACAAGGCCCGCGCCTCCTAAGCAGCAGGGGTGCTTCTGAGAAGCCCTCCCCCCTCCCCCTACCCCCCCGTGCGCGCCGCCAAGTCTGGCAGCAGATCCCGAAAGCTCAAGTGAAACTGGGAGGCGCCGCTGCGGCTGCGTTTCGACTGGATCGAGTTGTAGAGCACGTCGCTGATGACGAACAGCCTGGCCAGCACTCCCTCGGTCCCGAGGCCTTCCTGCCCGAGGGCGCCGACCAGGCGCCTGGCGAGGTTCTCGGCGTGGGAGCCTGCGTGCTCCATGCAATATACCATGGCGTCGCACACCGACCGCCTCGACAACTCCGCATCCGCCACGACGCAGTCCAGGCCGTGAAGCACCTCCTCGGCCACGGCGGGGGCCGACGCGGCAGCCGCGGTGGGCCCCGTGGCGGCGGCGGCGGCCAAGATCTCCAGGTTGGCGGGCTTGAGCGCAAACTCTGTCCCGTCGTCCAGCCGCACAGTCCACCGCTGCGCCTCGCCGCTCTGGCCCTTCACCGAGCCCTCCCTGCCGTTCAGGTGCGGCTTCGCGCGCAGCTCCCGCAGCCGCACGCGGGCGCCGGGCGCGAGCATCCCGCTGGGCGCAGGGCACGCGGGCGCTGGGCCAGGCGCCCGCACGCCCCCGGAGCCGAGAGAAGGCTCGAGCAAGAGTGGCAGAGGCTTTGGAGGAGGCGGAGTTGCCACGATTCCACGTGCACTGAGAACTCCCTCGGGGGTTCGCGCGCGCGCGCGCCAAGCAACTGCAGCGAAGCTTGCGCTTCGCGGTGGTTTCCGCGAGAGGCGGGATGGGGCGCGCACGCGAAATGACCCTCAAAGCCGATCGCTGGAAACCCCCGCTGCCGATGTTCACCAAACCAGCCGCCAAGTGGAGAATAGGTACCAATACTTCAGGCAGTACCGTTCTTAGCCACCTGGAGAGTACGGTGGGCTATTGCTTGGTGTGACCTGCAGCAGCAGCAGCAGCAGCAGCAGCAGCAGCAGCAGCAGCAGCAGCAGCATGGGTACAAATTGTGAAGGTGCGCCGCTGGTTGCCCGAGGGGTTGGGGGCGGAGATTGAACTCCCCCTCCCCCCCTTCCCAAACCATCGTCCTGGACCCCCTTCCTTGCCCAAGAGGGCGGGGAAGTTGCACCCCCCCCTTCCCTTCCACCCTTCGGGGCAAGGGGCGCAAACGGCGCCCAAGAGGCCTCCAATAAACCAAAAAGAAACCCCACGAGGCCCCAAGAGGCCCCCAAGAGGCGCCCAAACTGCCTCCGAAAGGCCTCCGAGAGGCTCCCCACGACACCACAACAAATATACAAGTGGCCTCGTACCAACAACCCAGGCACGGTGGCGGCATGGACCGAAGGCCACTGGGAAAACGCCAACGTCCCGATATGCGCTGATGATTCCTACCCGCCCCCGCGTGATGTGCCCAGATGCGCCAAGGCAGCGCCGAGACGCACCGACGCGACTCTGATAGATCCCATTCTGATAGCGAGGCGGGGCCGGCGACTCGGGGCAAGGCCTTTACGGATATAATCGTACAGTCATATCGTCCTGACACCTGGTTCCGGCCGATTCGCAGCTGGCCCAAACCGACAATTTGGTGCGATCCCTTTTTGCGACGACCTTAAACATTAGGGACGCGATGAACATCGGTTGATCGTAAGATCGCCTCGTATTGAACCAAGTCTATATTCGGAACCGTATGGCTTGGATTTTTTGATTGCCGCATTTACCTAACGTAAGCGATCCCCTGCAAGAAAGACCATGCTATCTATATCTGCAAGCACCAATATTTACCATCCACTACAAAAAATACCGCTCGGTGCACATATGATAATGCCCATCCCCACGATCCTCTGCAAAACAATACCATGCGGTGCACACTTGTTGATCTTCATAACGGCCCAAGCATCACGATCCCTGGCAAAACAGACAATTTGGTGCACACCGGCTGACTTGTACAGCGACCCAACATTCACCATCCGATGTAAAAAAGCCATTCGGTGCACACCAGCTCACTTGCACACCCATCCAAGGCTCACGATACTTCACAACATCGGGTGATCCTCTCTGCGCGATCCCATGTTACTAAGACTCCCAGGCGTTCCCATACGCTCCGGCCGCGCCCGAAGCGTTTCCAAGCTCGCCGTCGCCACAAGCAGAGGCAGCGTCCACATCTGCATCTTCAGTGTTTCACCGTCCTCGTCGCCGAATGACGCTTCAAGGAGCAGGTGAATCAGATCGCGCTGGCGCGTTCAGATTGTTGAGGAAATCGGTTGTGCTGGGAAGGGATAGAAGCAGGACCCAAACACGCCCCAAGATCGCCCCGAGATGGCCAAGAAAGGTTCGGAAGGTGCGGACGATGCAAGACCGCGCTGACGCGATAAAGGGGATAGGTCGATCCCGTGACACGGGCTTAGGGCGGGGAATTATCAGGGCTGGGGATGAAGCGGCCTTACCATCCGAGCCTCAACCCTAACTCCCGAACCATAAGCACCAACGTTCAACACTAGCATCATACCGCCCTAACCCGGACACCCTAAGTCTATAATCCACATACGCCTTCAGAAATACCCCGCCAATACAGTGTAATATATTAGTTTTGTTCGGCGACCTGATTGACGGATGGGTGTTCCACAAACAGAGGTAAACTGATTATTGTTCCCCCGCGGCGCCCGCCAGCAGCGCTCTCGTGAAAAATCTTGTATCAGACACTTGGCGCACAGAAGCTTTATCCTGAAAGCTACATCCTGACAAGGACTGTTGAAGCTAACGCCCCGCGCGGGCCCTCAGAAACATCTGCGAGGCCTCATCCTCTGGAGCTTTCTACTACTACTACTACTACTACTACTACTACTACTACTACTACTACTACTACTACTACTACTAGTTGTACTACTACTACTACTACTAGTTGTACTACTACTACTACTACTACTACTACTACTACTACTACTACTGCTACTGCTACCGCTACCGCTACCACTACAACACTACCACGACCACGACCACTACCACTACCACTACCACTACCACGACCACGAACACTACCACACTACACTAGTAGTAGTAGTAGTAGTAGTAGTAGTAGTAGTAGTAGTAGTAGTAGTAGTAGTAGTAGTAGTAGTAGTAGTATTAGTAGTAGTAGTAGTAGTAGTAGTAGTAGTAGTAGTAGTAGTAGTAGTAGTAGTAGTAGTAGTAGTAGTAGTAGTAGTAGTAGTAGTAGTGGTCGTCGCAGCCGTAGCAGTAGAAGGGTTAGTAGTTGTAGTAGTAGTAGTAGCAGTAGTAGTAGTAGTAGT